AGCTAAGCAAATTATTACCAGTTATAGCATCAATAATTATTGTGAGAGGTGTGAGACTAATCACGAAAAACATTGCTCAACCCGCCCATAACCGCGGGTACGGCTATTCGAATAGTTTTACTCTGGCCAGAGGTATACCACTGTACCCACAAGACACAGCCTTAACATCATGTCTACCATGCGTCGCGATACTGGAAAGTACCCGAATAGAGGCTGTGACAATACCCTCTGCACAACACAACTCTTTACAGTGCACCATTCATGGATCATAATCACCCCCTCTATAAATATAACCAGAGGCATGGACTCCCCAGCGACCCCCACGGACTTCTCGCCGCTTCTCAGTCTGGCACCCCGTAATGAACCATGCTATACAAAAGGTAAAGCCGTTGCGCACGCTAGCTTGTGGTTGGCACGGTTAATGTCTCACAACAGTAGCTCACGAACCGGTCCTTAATTGTCGTGAGCACGACCTTCAAAACCATGTGCTCACAACCCACCATTGACAAGTTTTAATTGCAAAATAATTAATTAACCAATCACAACTGACCATCGTGAGCTACCATTAAATATAATCATAAGTGATAGTGTAACATTAGTTATCCCAATCATGTGCTAATGTTTCTAAGCATGGCTAAGCAATTATATATATAAAGCGTTTAGCTGAACCAAACCAATATATAAGGTTCAAGCTAATCAATTTATTACCCAAGGTATCAAGGAATAAGGTAATCAATGCAAATTGGCCATAACAAAGGAATAGGTTCACACCACCCGGTGACATTCGAATATAAATGCACAGTTGAAATAAATAGAGAATTTAAATATAGGATCAACATGCTGAAAGGATTGTGTTTGGGATCTGTATGACTTGCCTTGCAATAATCAGTCTTCAATTATTCTTCTGAATCACTTCCAATGCACTCACGAACCTTTGCAACAACGGAAACGACAAGCTAACACGCAAAACGAAGAAAAAGACTAATAAAAACCAAATAAACAGTACATAAAAGTAAACAAACATATAGATCATGATTTTAGATGAATTATGAGACTTGAACGGCCTCATTCTGACTTCATATGAATTAGTTATGAATTTTACAAGATTAATTCCAATTAAACCTATTAAAGAAAAGACTATTCCAAATTAATTAAACAATTTACAAATAATTTATATCTGAGATATAAGACTAAAGCATCCTCTGGAAAATTATTGGAATGAATTTAGTATACAACATATAGTAAAAAGAACTAATATGCTATTGAAAAGGAATAACAGGATTTATATTGATTTTGGACGGCTGAGACCAAAATTGGATGGCTCGGATTGATCTGATCTAAGGTTTTAGATGGCTGCCATGTGGGTTCTGAGAGACGGCGTGACACTTAGATGGCAGGGACGGCAGCTGACAAGGCGATGACATGGCAACCACGCAGGATCAACGCCGGCGGCTCTGAACGGCTCTAAACTAAAGGATGACTCAACACGGACGAACGAATGAAGCACAGGGGACACCTCTTTCGAACGAACGAGTGAACGACTCAACAACGGCTGCGGCTAAACCGTTGAGCTCGACACGATTCACAGTAAAGCCCCGGTACGGCAAACAATAGACCGGTAGGAACCTAGGATTACACGAATGCGACACGGCACAGCAGCGACGGCAAATGGTGGCTGCGGTAGCGGGACGGCAATGACTTGGCACTCACGAGCAGCAGCAGCACGGCTGTAGCATGGAGCGGCACAACGACGGCTAGGCGGCTAGCGCAGCGGTGACACTAGGGCAGCAGCTAAGCGTGGCACGACGGTGGCTACTCAATGACACAAACGAGAGATTAAAACCTAAACCGAGGGAACACAGATAGAAGCCTCACCGAACCAAAGTGATCGGAGAGGGAGAGACGACGACGATGATCCGGCGGCAATACACGGAGACGGCGATGACGCTAGACAAACAACGGATTAGGTTAGATTGGATTAAGACCCTAGGGAAAAACCTACACTGGTGAATGGCAGCACGACAGCAGAAACCGGTAGCACGGGGAGGAAGAGGAGGACGCGACGATCCTTACCAACACTTACGCAGCGATGAACAACGAAGGAGATGGCCAGCGACGAGATCAGGAGTGGCGACGGGGTACTGATCAACGACGGCAACGGCTTTCTGGCGATCTTTGGCGAAGAAGAGGTGGTGGACGATGTTCTCCTTACAGCTGCGAATCCGATGAAGGCTACGGCGACCGAAGGCGACGACGGACGACGACGAACGGCACGGCTGGATATCGAACCAAGGCAACAACCCACAGGTTCACGGTGACGGCAACCTTCCGGCGGGATTTGGCGCAAAAGAACTGGCGGCCGTGGTAGAGATCAACCTTGCGGAGCGGAGGGAAGTGGCGTCACTGATCGAGAACAGCCGGCGCGACGGGAAAAGGCGGCTGAAGATGGCGGCCGGAGTTGGAGAGAGAAGGCGAGCGTGGGGAGAGACGGCTAGGGCACGGGAGCTCGAGTTAGGGGTTGGAAACGAAAGAGGAGAGGGAGGGGACTCTATTTATAGCCACGGGAGAGAGAGATCGGGCTTGGAACGCAAGGAATCGCGCCGGGAAAACCTAGGGTTTGGTGGAGAGATAAACTCGAAAACGAATCCAAATTCGCGTCGAATTCAAAGGGATAAAACTAGATTTTTGGGGGAAGAGATAGAGGAGGATAAGGGAAACAAATCCCCTCAATTAATTTTGCAAAGTATCAATTAATTACGTTTCAAAAAAATTTTTTTTTGCAAAGTATCGAAAGAAGAGGCCGGATTTGGAGGAGAAAACGGCGCCGGATCGGGAAGAACAGGGGCTCTGGACGGCTGGCTGGAGGTTGAAGATGCCACTGTAGCGACAGGGAGGAGAAACAGACTTTCGGCTAGGCTTCTTCTTCCAAGGCCTGATTGAAAGAGGGACACAAAGCAGACTTCGACAGAGAGAGGGAGAGGGGCTGCAGGCCGAGAGAGAGATTGGGCCGAGAAAGAGAGAGGACTTTTCCTGTTTCGGCCCGAAAAGGAAAAGAGGATTTAATTACTTTTCCAATTAAATTAATCTCTGAAATGGTCCTTGAATTGTTAAAAATACTTCTATTACTCAAATAATTTCAAGAAAAATCATGAAAGTACTTGAACACTATAAGTATTTAAAAAAATTATAAGCAGACCATTTAATGATTAATTTAATATGTGAATAATTACTGAAATGTTGTTTGTATTATTAAAATTACAAATTGAGCTCCGAAAAATCAAAGAAAATTCCAGAGAGTATAATTAACTATGGCGAATTTAATAAAAATTAAATCCAGCCATACTTTATATTTAGAAAATTTGATTTCTCACATTTAACTTCACTTGTAAATTAATGAATATTTAATATAAATTCTAAAAATAATTTATTAAATAATTTATGAATCCTAAAGCGAAAATCAGGATGTGACAGCTGACCCATGCCAAATTGCCTTGCAACACTTGTCGGATGATAAAATTCATATGTCATCTGGATATGATATTCTTGCCCTGTATTTATCATGCAGGTCGTGCTTTTTTCTCCATCGTTCTTGATGATCGGCTCGAATCTTGGAAATTCCACATCGGTTAGTTCTGGCCGATTGGCAACTTTTCTGGTGTGCAGATTCAGCCAAATTTGGAGCAACTACCATGGACCTCCTATGCCGATTATTTTTCCAGAGGCCATCTTGTCGATTGCAGTATTGAGAGTCTGATACAAGTAGCCTAACAAATATTTGCCAAGGGGAAAATGTTTCTTTTCCACCAGGTTTTCAGCTATCCTTTGCCAGTTTGCAGTTGGACAACATCTTGGGCCACAGAACAAGAACTTTTCTAGCCACATCATGATAAAAGCTGTTTCTTCCCTTGGAGTAACCGACCCAGTTCCCATATACTTAGCAATATAACCACCCCAACCGCCTATGCTTCTAGTTTTAAACTCGTGAGTGAGTTGGGTGTTAAGGCTGGATAGGTTAGTCGATGAGGTGATATCTAAGCCAGTAATCATGGTGATATCTAGTAAAATTGGGGTCATCGGTCCTTGTGAGAACAGGAAGGCATTCATGGCTGTGCACCAGAAATAGGTAGCTGTTGCCATCATGGGTTCATTCCTTGCCATGTTTGCTGCAGTTAATGCCAGAGCTTGGGATATGCCGATCTCATCCCAGTGATCCGATTTGCTGACCGACATCCTCTTGTACCAAGCAGGCCTGGTGGTTTTGGCTGATGGCCAGGATTTGAAGGTACCCTTCCAAGTACTGAGATTTGGGTTGGTGAATCTGAAGGGGATTCGGTTGGTTTCACCATTTATGAACTCAGTGGGATCTAGGTTGCCGATTGGGCCAAGGAAGAGCTGGAGGTTATCGGCAATGCTTGGGACAGCAATCAGATGAGCGAGATGCTGCGGAAGAGGAGAAATCGAGGATTGATAAAGGAAGAAGAACCAGTCGGATGCAGAAAAAAGGGAGTTTTAGCCGATGGGAACTTACCTCGACGTATTCCACGGTTGATGCGCTCGGAGGTCTGGCGGAAGACGACATTGTCGCTAGCGGAAGTTGATACCTGCGAGGATCGTCTCTAGATCGTCGGAAAGCTCGAAATCGTCGCTAGAGGGCTCGAGGAGAAGGATTGGGGAAAGTTTGTTGTTAGAGCGGTTAAAATGGAAGCTGACGCCGTGAAAAGTGCAAAGCGGTGGTTACTATTTAAAAGAGAACGCGGTAACGGCCAAAACAGAGTCGGTAAAGGAAACCCTAGATCGGCTCGGAAAAGGAAATTGAGCAAATCCGCCACATTACAAATATAGTGGACTTGGGGGGCTTGTGTTGACGACTAAATTTTGTAAATTGTGAACCAGGTTCGACATTTGGATCGAGGCGGATTCAATAAAGAGATCGATTCAAAGAACTGTCGACCTCCGATTATGTAAATCAGAAATCTTCCGTGTTTATCAGTACCAATCCCTGGATCAGTAGTTGGTTCACACATACATAGCCGAATCACAACATATCACGAATGAATTCAGACTAAGAGAGTTAAATGCTTACATTAGGGCTAGGCAGGCCAACAACTATCAGAGAACAACAACAGAAGACAAAATAATATAAGGGCCCGGTTGACATGCCACAAGCAGTCGACTGGGAACGAGACCTAGAATGGAACCGCAATCCAAGGGCTTCTCTTCAACACTCTGCTACAAGATATATATAGAGCAACAATGAGTACAAAAGTACTCAGCAAGCCACCACACAAAATGCAGTAATGTACAGGATAATACAAGGAGTGGCTATGGTTACTTTGCGTAAAGCTGAGTTTTCAAATATCATTTCACAAACCTAAGACCTAGCATAAACTGATCAAGTTTTAATTCCGTTGTTCATTAAACAGCGACAGTTCTGTCCACCATCCATTGTGTTCCCAAGGATAGCTTCCCGCCACTGGTCGTCATGGTTTTCTGGGGTCTACCCCTTCTCGCCTCTCGAGAAGTTGTTCCACCAGAACAAAATCATCGTGCAGCATCCCACCCAATCAGTTTAAGAAATTAGAGTCTAGCCAAGTGTAATACATGTCCCGGTGCTCAATAACCGCGAGCTCGGCTATTCGAATAGATTTGGTTTACTCACACTGCAGTGGATGTGCACTTTACCCGTACTCCGCGACTTGCCCAATACATGAGCCTACGTCTCAATGAATGAGACTTGCCACGGCAAAGCCTTTCAATAACCTCACATTGGCAGTACCTGCTCCATGAACTTTAGTCCTCATGCACTCTAGGCGTCCAAGGTTTTTAGCAGTGAGAGGAGTTCTGGCGCTCCCGAGGGGGAAAGACTCACACATTCATTAAGTTATAGTTAAGTTTAGGTTTACACATGGTAGTCCTACCGATGGCGACACCACTGTAGGCACCCGCCCCACGCGGTCCTACCAATGGCTGCCCTACCGTAGGCCCTGCCTCACACACAACAAGAAAACCACTACGGCCTGGGTATCCGCTCGGCTATTTACTCCGCTAGGTCTATACCCACACGAGAAGTATGGTTGTACGGGGGTTGTTTCATGCTTAACTTCATGGCTCGGTCCTTAACTGACTAGGGACGGCACTAGCCTTTACCGGACACCACCCAAGTCCTCCAGCCGCCCCAGTCGAAAACATTTGTTTAGTTTTAACTTTCTTTCACAAATCATCTCATCAATGTCATGGCAATGTGGCGCTCATGTCTCCACATGCTGTATCTCAACTACCTTCCCCAAGGTAGTTGCCCAAGCATAAAGCATTTGATAAATATGAGAATGCATGAATCTAAATTAGCATTACTAAGCATGTGCCATAAGTGACTAGGGACTCATACGTAATTATGGGTACAAGGGAATAATGAGATAACCATTAATCAAAGGCATGGCATAATAACAAGTAGAATATTCATCACTGCATGCAATTTTATTTGTAAACAAAGCAATTTCATAATTGGGATCAACATGCTCAAGGGATGGGGTGATGACTTGCCTGCTCAGGATAGTTCTTATTCTTGATATAATCTTGATCAACCTTCACCTCCTGGAAGCTGCATACGTTGCCTCGCGACTAACCGATATACAATTTCTATAATACGCGAGGAAACCAATATTCAACAACAAGCAAATATGCACAAGCAAAATATAATTGTTGGGGATATACCTAGGGCTATTCATACCACTCATGTTTGCTAATGGATTGTAAGGTGCTACGAAGTCTAAACTAAGGGCTGCCCACATACAGAACTCAATACTCAGGACTACGGGTCTACGGCTCAAATATCTATCAACTATGGCTATGGGGAGTTCATGGCTAAACTAGCTTTGATCGTAGATTAAATGGTGACACCCTGTAGGAGGTTTACCAAGGCTCAGTGGATAATTTAATCATAGCAGTAGTTCTAACGGAATGGATTGCCTAGGCATGGCTCTACAAATATTACTATATAAGGGTTCCAATGAATTACCATACTCTGTAGGTTTGATTAGTGTGGTCCATAATATTATAGTTAAAGTTTATCTCAATGCATAATTTTACAATAAATAATCCTAAGTCACGGTCCAACTACAACTAGCTCTGTTATTATTTCTCATAAACAAGTTAAAGATTCATCTATGAGTATTCATATTTTAGTTACAAAATATGAGGCTAAACTTTATGTAAATAATTTATAAATCATGGATTCATCTACATATATGGTCAGTGATTAATAAATAGCAATGGTACTTTCTATGCTTCAATTAATTTGAAACAATATTTATAATTAATTTATGTGGTTGTTACAGTGACAAAACATGTTAAATATAATTATTTGACATCTACTCTACTGTAAAATATCAATTGTATTTATTAACACATTTTTAAGTTGACCATAACCTAATCATATGATATTAATTATCTAATAATTATAAATATATTTTATTAATTAGTGAGTTATATACCATTGGAAAGATTATGAATTTAGATTCAAGTTTCACTCAAATCGGAGCTAAAATGAATAAGTTATGTAGTTTAAAGATTCAAATTTGAATTAATCCGAGAAATTGTAAAAAGTTACTGTGCGCATACTGTTTATTTTTAATCCAACATTATCCATAACCACCGTGACTGACATGTGGGACCAGCCCTGGTTGACTAGGGTCAAACTGGCTTGTTTAATAACCAGTGGGTCCCGCTTGTCATGGACACAAAGTCTATAATTAAGTTCTCTTAGATTTTAATAACAGGGACCCCACATGCCATTGAGTGGGCTAATCATCATTAGGTGGAGGATTACTGTGCGCTAATTACATGTGGGTCCCGCACGGTTTCTCTCTCTCTCTCCTTCCTTTCTTTTTCCCGTCGTCTTCTACCTCTCGCTGCGGCCGAACAGAGGAATGGCACGCAGCGGTCCGACGGCTCGAGCCGGGACGGCTCGGCGCGCGGTGGAGAAAGGTAGCGGCGCATCACTGGAAACCCATCGGCGGCGGCGGCGAGGCACGGCGGCCACCCGACGCGCGGCGCGACGGCGCGTGGCGGCACCGAGATCGCGAGAACGGCGGCAGCGCAATGGGTGTCGATTCAAGCACAGAAGACTTCGATTTAACCATCTAGGGTTCACATGGAGTATAGAAAAGCAAAAATCTAGCCGATTCTACATTGGAACGAGGTCCCGCCACGGCGAGCTCAACCATGGCGCCGTGGTGGCCGGGGTAGGCATGGCTACGGCGGCGCGCACCCCAAATCGACGGGGCCGCAAGTTACTAAGTTTCTGGGAGTTGCTCTAGGCGCGAGGGCTTACCACGGGAAGGCGAGACGGCGGATTTCGGCGGGCGCGGCGCGGTGCGGACGAAACAGGGGCGGCTAGCTGTCGACGACAGTCGCAGGTGTTCGACGCCTGGTCTCCCTCGTTCAGCGGCTCCCGGCTCCCTCCAACAGCAGCTACAGCAACGCGAGCAACTCCTCTCCACACCCCGCCACCCACACCGGCTGAGAAGCCCTGTGGCGGCGGCGCAGCCCTCGCTCACCAGGTGTTCGACACCCGGCGGGCGGCGCGATCTTGTTCCTCTTCGGTGGAGCAAAAATTTTAGGGAGAGGAAGAGCAAATGGGAGGTTGGGTTTGGATGAGAACGAGCCAGACATAAGCTTATAAAAGCGAGAGGGAGAGGGATTCCTTAATGGATAAGAATAACCGATGACACGGCATTGTTTCGATCGCTCCCAGGTTTGGTTCCATGCACTGGCGCGGCATGATTGCCTAGATGATAGGGTTCCAGGAGAGGGTTCATTAGCTGGGGAGGGAACACCCTAATATCCAGCGGTCTCGGTTATGTGCGACGGCATGGCGACACGATGGTGACTCGATTGGCGGTGATGTGCAGTGGTAGCGGCCTTGATAGGGGAGGCGCAGGGCTATGCCCTAGGGTGACGCGCGGTCGTCGTGGCGACCGTTATCCCTCAATCCCGAAGGCGACGCGCGAGGGGACGGGATGACGCGGGCTCTCGTGGCGGCGCAGCTTTGGCGCGGGTCTTCGGCGCCTCGGTCGGCGGCGGGCCCACGCGGCGTGGCGTGACGCGGTGCGGCGCACGGGCACGACCAGTGCGGCGCACGAGTCGGAAAGGCAGCCGCGCGGCACGGCAGTGATTGGAGAGGGCGGCGTCGGGTGTTCGGTCGGGTTAGGCACAGATCGAACACCTAGCGCGTAATGAACAGTAGCAACCCGGGAAAAATCACAATTAGGGCTTTTCCTAGACTTTTTGTGTGAATAAGTTTTAGATGTTTTAATCTCCTTATTTCTTTTAGATACTTACCTATATTTCAACACTTCCAATCTTGTGATTTATTGCACCATATATTAATAATTATTTTTTCTAATTCCAACATATGTTTCTATTTTCCCCATATTTAAGGTTTTAGTATTTGTCTTGTCATACCAATATATTTGTCTTCTCACATTATTTAATTTAAACAATACATTTTGCAACAGAGAAACGAATAACACCAGCATGATGCAAAAGTTTTTAAAAGTTCGAAATTTTAGTGATTTTTATTGTCAGGAATTTTCAGGATGTTACAAGAACAGAGTATGCATCGGCTGCGAAGGCATCGGCTGGAGTCTGCATAGGCTGAGAAGGATCGGACAGAGGACAGCTGACACAGCTGATAGAGGTGGTGCAGCCGATTGCGATGAAGATGGTTTCAGGGCTGTTTCAGGGATTGATCAAAGTGCTTCACGGGGATTGCCACGATGGAGATAAAGCTCTCAGATAGGCAATTGTATTTATTAATTAGGATATTTCATGTAAATTCCTTAGAGATATGTTTGGGCAAAAGTCTGCCACGAAGACTTATGGTATCGTAGAGTTTGTTAGAGATAAGTGTCGTGTCCGGCAAGGACGTATCTTGTATCTCGGGTATAAATAGAGCCCGAACCCATGTAATCAATTAACAACAGTTTAATACAATCTCGGCGCATCGCCACCCTTTTACTTTCATTTTGTTTCGACGAGTTCTTGCTTTCGGGTTGAGCTGCATCGATTCGATCTTCAACTAGAGGTAAAACTTGTTATGGCGGCTTGCGTTCTCGGGATTAATGCTTCCATCTTTATGACACTTTAATACTGTTTATGTAATTCGTCGAGTTATCATATGCATGTTGCAATCTCTGTTAGTTGCGCTATATAACTTGTTATCGGCTGATTCTTATTGTTAGGAAGTGACCGATAGAGTTATGTTTTGTTATTAATTTAGATTGTATCGTGTATCTACCATCTCTTATAGGTTTTCATCATCTTGCCTAGATCTTATACTTGTCTTTATGCTTAATGCTGCATCGGTTGAGTTCGATCTATTAAGTAATATCTATAATTATGATATCTGGCTTGTTTTATGATCATCGAGAGAGATAGTATCGGGGTTTCAGCCGATCTTACCTGATTTAGCTTTATATCTTATATGCTTAATTGATATGCTAGATCTGCCCTTTATATTAAGATCTTATCGCAATAAAGTATATTAGGCTTCTGTTTGATATATTCTATCTGTTTTAATATCTTAATATAGAGTGGTATCGGAGTATTAGCCGATACATGCTAGATCTATTTGATCGGCTATGCTATATGCGTTTATAATCTTCATGTTAATATATACTTTGATCTAAGTGATTTATATTGTCTCGGCATGGCGACCGATCTATCCCAATCACTTGATTTAAATATATATCGACAGAAAGATTATATATCGTTAATATCTATAGCTGATCGAGTAGATTTAGTCTTATCTTGCTTATTTATAACTGCCGATCGATTCACATATGACATCGGCTCGAAAATAAATGATATGTCATCAACGACTGGCCGATCGGCTATCGTTTATGGATTTAACTGCGGTTTTTCTCATCTTTGTTTCTTGTTGATTGCAGGATCAAATCAACTGGCAGGCTCACGAACCTAAAAGTAAGATTTTGGACCCGCACTGAAGTTAAGCAGATCTTCCAGGCTAGTGTGTTTTTCGCATCAATAGAACTCAAATTTGAAAAGTTTCATCTGAAGATTTTATGAAAATTTCACCTGATATTTGAAATCTTTCAAAAGTCAAAATTTAAAAACTTTCAACTCGTGTTTGAAATCTTTCAAAGTGAATGTTAGAAACTTTCAACTCAAGATTTTTTGGAACTTTCGACTGAGATTTTAATATTGTCAAGTCCAAATCTAAATACTTTCAACTTGTAAAATATAAAACTTTCAACTAACGATTTGAAACTATGAATTCCAATTTGAAAACTTTCATAGAAATATTTTTTTGAAAATTTCAAAACATACAAATTGATTTTGAAAACTTTCAACTCGTATTTGAAAACTTTTAAAGTTAATATGTGAAACTTGAAACTCAAGATTCTTTTTTTGAAAAGTTTGAAGTTAAATTTGAAAAGTTTCAAAAGTCAAAATTTGAAAACTTTCAACTCGGGTTTGAAAACTTTCAAAGTGAATATTTGAAACTTTCAACTGAAGATTTTTTGAAACTTTCAACTGAGATTTGAAAATTGTCAAGTCCAATTCTAAAACACTTTCAACTTGTGAATAGAAAACTTTCAACTAATGATTTGAAACAATAAACTAAAATGTGAAAACTTTTCATCGGAACATTTTTTGAAAATTTCAACTGATATTTAAAAACTGTTAACTCAAATTAGAAAACTTTCATCTCGGATTTGAAAACTTTCAAAAGTCAATATGTGAAATTTGCAACTCAAGATTATTTATTTCAAAAATTTGAACTTAGATTTGAAAACTTTCAACTTGGGATTGAAATCTTTCAAATTTAATGTTTGAAACTTTCAACTCAAGATTTTTTGAAGTTTCAACATATATGTGAAAATTGTCAAGCCCAAATCTAAAATACTTTCAACTCGGAAAATATAAAACTTTCAACTAATGATTTGAAACTATGAACTCAAAAATCTTTCATCTGAAGATTTTTTTGAAAATTTCAACTGATATTTGAATACTTTCAAAGTTAATATGTGAAACTTGAAACTTAAGATTTTTTTTTGAAAAATTTGAAATGAGATTTGAAAACTTTCGAAAGTCAAAATTTAAAATTTTTCTACATGGGTTTGAAATCTTTCAAAGTGAATGTTTGAAACTTTCAACTCAAGATTTTTTGAAACTTTGACTGAGATTTTAATATTGTCAAGTCCAAATCTAAATACTTTCAACTTGGAAAATAGAAAACTTTAAACTAATGATTTGAAACTATGAACTCAAATTTGAAAACTTTCATTGAAAGATTTTTTGAAAATTTCAATTGATATTTTAAAACTTTCAACTCGAATGTAAAAACTTTCAAGTTGGATTTGAAAACTATCAAAGTCTATATGTGAAACTTGCAACTCAAGATTTTTTTTTTCAAGAATTTGAACTCAGTTTTGAAAACTTTCAAATGTAAACAAATTAAAAACTTTTGAATCAAGATTTTTTTTGAAACTTCCGGCATAGATTTTAAAATTGTCAAGTCCAAATCTAAAATACTTTCGACTCGAAAAATAGAAAACTTTCAACAAATGATTTAAAACAACGCGCACGAGTTAAGATGTTGTGTGAATAATGCACACAAGATATTATCTACTCAAGCTGCTTCCCTCGGATCCAAAAAAATCGGTGAAAATAGGGGGTGGGTGGTTGGTTATGGTGGTGGAGGCCTGGAGGTGTGCAATTGGCTCCACAGATATATTTGAAGATGATTTCTCAATGAGTAAAACTTTTACTACGCCTGTTACGCAAGAAAAAAAGTTCCGGGAGGGAGGGGGTGGGGCGGGGGAGGGTGTCACACCCTGAAAATCGCTAAATTATAAATCGTTGTGAAAAAGGAATTTTTAGAAATTATTTAATGATTAAAGTAAGTGTGTGAATAAAATCTATGAAAAATTTGAACATAAACTTGAGCTAGATAAAATTTTATTAAATACTTTGTGTGCCCAAGTATTTTCAGGATTTTTCTTGGATTTATTTGAGCAATGGAAGTATTTTTAATAAATGAAACATCATTTCAGTAATTATTTAAATTAAAAAGTTAATTAAATTCCCTCTCTTGTCTTGGGCTGAATCCGACCCACTCCTTTCTCTCCCCTCTCGACCGAAGTCTACTTTAGCTCCCTCCTCTTTCTTTCTCACTGACGCATGGGGCCCACTCGGCTACAGTGCCGCCATCTTCCTCCGGCCGCCTCCATCCCGAGCCGTGCGTGTGCAGCGCCGCTCCCGCACCGAATCCGCCGCTGCATTGCTCCCGTTCCAAAATTAGTTGCGGGAACATATTCCCCTCGATCTCCTCTATCTTATCACAAGAAACCCCCTTGAATCCCGTTGTAAATTGCGTGGATTCGACGCGCTTTCGAGCTCCGTTTTTTCGTCGAACCCAAACTAATCCGTCGCCGATTCCATCCGTTTCCGAGCCGATCTCTCCCTCTTCCAGCTATAAATAGCAGCCCCTCGGCATCCTCTTCCGTTTTCCCCTTTTTCCCGAAGTTTTCCCTAACCCTAGCCGCCTCCCCGCGAGCTCCCCCTCTCTCTCCACAGCCGCCACCATCTCCAGCCGCACCTCCTTGTCGACCCCGTGGTCG